TGATAAGTTTGCTTATCAAAGGGATCCTGCAGACCATAGATTACAACATTTTTAGCACCTTTTTTGATGGCCAACATACAGTACAACCCCAGATGTATACCATCAGAATAGTTCCATTTCTCAGTTTTGTATTCCAAAAGCATAGACAATGTGTCCCAGTATTTTCCTGGCTTTCAATATTTTTCTTTTTATGGCGTCTGGACACCCACAGCAAAGGCATTCTTCATTAGTTCAGTGTTTCCCTTTCAAAGCTTTCATAATGCTGTTTCTGAAAATTGGCAGATGGCCCTTTTCATTTGTTGATTACACTATGTATTTTTTTTATTATTTCACTCCCTTTAGAAAGGCCCAGACTTCTCTTAAATTGCTTTGGGAACTCACTATCCAGTCAAAAACTGGGATCCCTAATTTGCAATAATATTTCTGGCTAATGAAATGTTTCTGTTCCCCTTGAACCCAACTCGAGTCTGCTGAAACTCTGGCTGTATTGAATTACTATGCTGTATCTACAAATATTAAAGCTCAGAAGACCACTGTGAAATGGACAAGTGCTATGCTGGTTTTCCAGATGAGTAAACTGAGACTAAGTGACTTGCCTACAAGATCACAAAGCGAATCTATAGAAAAAAATAGGGAAAAGACTCGAGTCCTGCTTCCCAGATGCCTGCTCTAAACACTGGCCTGCACTACACTTCCAGATGCTTGATTCTAATAGTTTTCACCAAAAGAAATCAAAACAATATTAGACTGAACTAACCCGTTCTTCTAGTGGCAGGAGGAATAAGCTTATAGGAGCCATCAAACTCTATCTGTTGCATGTGAAATCCAATGCACTGAAAATGTACTACTAACCTAGTCCGTTGTGATGAAATAAAGCTAATATAGCTAGACTATTCTTGGATGGAGATCTGCACAACCATCCATTTTGTTCTTCTGCACAGGAAGGGCCACAGATCCTATTCAGTGCGTTTCTAGCTTCTCCCTTGCTGCTGTGGAGACATTAAACACTGCAAACTGTGGCTGTGTCTTTGCTTGGGGGTGGGGGGGGAGAACGAATGCGTTTTTACACAGAGATAGCTACTGCAATGCAAAATCCTAGTGGAGTCAAGCCACAGGTAGCTTTTACTTCAGTGTAGAGAGTCTAGATCAATATCGGGTGGCAGTTGACCTTCATGTAGCTACATCAAGGTGTTTGTATCATTCCTACACATAAATACAATTTTTTCCAGCTCTCTTTTATTATTATTATTATTTTATTATTTATTATTACAGGAAAGTAGGCAAACATCTTGAGTGTCTAATGGTTTCACCATGTAAAAAGAGCCTCCTTGTAAAATAAAATATCAATCAGAATAGTGTGTACTAAGTATGTGTCTGCTAAGTCTCTCAAACAGTTCTTATTATGCCTGCGGAAATGTTGGACTCTTAGGTTTGTTTCTGCGCCTGCATATCATGGGCCACAGCCTCATTAGAAATCAAAACTTTTACTTTAGCCATCTGTGTACAAATAGTATACCTGTGTGCAGAAATATTGAGAGCAATCACAAAGCCAAAGTAATGTTTGGGGTTCACCTAGGCAGTAGATTTTGCAGTGTATCTTGCACAGAATGTATTTAAAGTTATGAGAGAGAGGAATCAGCTTGTTTGCCAGTAAAATTTGCTAATACTTTTCACTCTGAATGACCAGAAATTGAGAGTGCTGTGCTCAGTTCAGGGTTGGGAAGCAAGAACCTCATGTTGCTGGTCACATTTTCAATAGCATCTAGATGATTTATGACTAGGTCCCACATTTAGGAGCTCCAATTCTAGTGACTTTCAATGAGATTTAGATTCCCCAGGGCCTGATTCAAACCCCGCTGAAGTCAATGGGAAGTCTTTCTATTGACTTCAGTGAACTTGGGATCATGCCCTAAGTGCCTAAGTCACTTGAAAATGAGACATAGGCTCCTAAGTCACTTGGGTGCTTTTGAAAATTATACTCTGTCTTCCAAGATGATTAAGGAACAGCATTGAAAGGTGCCAGCAAAAGCTGTATCCAGTTCCAGCAAATTTTACGGAGAGTTTGACCAAATTTCCTTCAGCAGTTGCTGAGTTTGTAGACAGTTTTAAAAATACTTTGCAATTAAAAAAAATTCTACTGATTTTTGTTTTCCCCAAGTCCAGTTTACAGCAAAAATGGCTGAAGCGTGAAATTTAGCAAAGTCATTTCTGTGCTAAATTTTCCATATGTTTGACTGGGGGAGGAAATGAAAAATTAAACCAGTTGTAATGATTCATTTTCCGGAAAGAGGGTTCAGCTTTAAAAGTATGGGCAACACTTAAGAGGCAGGGTGAACTGTGTGTTTTCTCTACCCAGCCCTAAAGACACAGATCTGCTGCTCTCAGGTCATGTATTCACTGCAAAAGAGTGTGTATGAGTGGGTGTTCTGTAATACAACAGTTGTTAACACAAGATAGCTCCCTCAATATAGAACCCTAGTGGAGACAAGGTATGGTTACTTTTTATCTCCCTGTCAAGGTCAACCCCAGCAAAGGGTACAGTGTTGACTTCAACTAGCTATGACAAGCTAAAAGCTATCTTTGCCTCAACTCCCTCAACTTAAATCCTAGTGTAGATGAAGCACAGGTAGTTTTTACCTCATAATTGCTAGTTGAGGTGAACAGTATACCCCTCACCTGGGGTTGACCTTGACCAGGTACATTGAGATAGGAACTACCTTTGCCTTGTCTCCACTAGGTTTTTAAGGAGCTATCTCAAGATAGCTACCATGAGGTGAAAACCACCTTGTTTTGTCATGAAGACATAGTCACAGCTGTTGGGGCCAGTTGAATGTGGGAGATGAATCTCTCATTGAAAGAGACACAGCAAATCTCTTCCAAAACCTGTCTTGCTATTGGACATAGCAGAAACTCATGGATGGGAAATAAACTGCCGATCCTGTGATTTATAGTGCCTCGCTGTGAGGTGTTGCACATTGTGCAATATCCTGTACATTCTAAGCTTTTATTTTAGTTTTTTTAATTGTGAAGATACAGCCACCGGATGTGTTTCTACCTTATTAACGAAGCCCTGCAAAAAAACTCTTTGTAGTCAGACAATAGCAAAAACAAAGGTATGTTCACTTTAAGGAGGTGTAAACTTCAAAGCCTAGTAGGAATTATTCAAATACTAACATTCCAAAATACAGGCAATGGGCTTTTACTGGGAAAAAACACAACCAAAACCTTGCTAGGACCAGATTATCAACTGGTGTAAATTAGCATAGCTCCATGGACTTCCACAGAGCTATGCTGATTTACTCCAACTGAGGATCTGGCTCCTACATACAAAAAAAGTATTATGCAAAATGTAAGTTGCACAGTTTAAAAAGAAGTCTCAAAATGCAGAAGCTGAAGTTACAGTAGCGCTGACTAGCTACATTTCCCCATCCTGAATATTACACTGTACATTTACCAACCTTAACAGAAAAAACAGGCCTGGAAAATCTCTCCTACGTGCACCCACGGCTGTGTTAGCATTACAATAGGAACTTTAATTTTTGTATTTTCGGGTCCTATTTTAACTGCTCAAAGCTCCTCCTGTGGGAAAACCCCCGGAGATGATTGAAGGGAGAAAAGCTCACCCAGGGAAACCATTGGCACCCACCCCAGGAAAGAATCCAGTGTCTGGTCCGCGGAACTGTGGAGTCTCCAATATTCACTGGAGATCAGGATCATCTGTGCAGAAGATGAAGAAGGCACCAGGGCCTGCTGTGTGCCTCTTCTCCGGTAACCAGGCTTTGCAGCTCTCGTAGAGACAAGCTGCTAAGGAGTTGGACTCCCTTTCCGGAGTGTAATTGCAGGGAAATGGAGTTTGCCTACTTCTCATTTGGGGAATATGGAGTTTTGTTTAGGTTAGCCATTTCTATTTTTTTACCTCTGCACCACTTCTCCTTTTTCCTTATCTCCCCACTCCACTCCACCCATGGTCATTCCCCTCCACTTCACCCACAGGAGGTTCATTGTGCTGTGGGTGTGACATGAAAGTTAATGCAGCATCAGGGTTGAATTAAATTTTAAATGGATTCTCCTCAGGCTTGGTGAGGGCATGATGGGGGTAGTGCACTCATATTCACTCCCTTCCCACATGTAGATTCCTGATCCTTTGCAGGTGCTTTCCAGGGCTGGGGGAGAGGCAAGGAGGGAAAGAGGGGTGGGGAAGAAGTGTCATTTTCAGCCTGTAAGCCATACAGCGTTGGTTGTTTTTCTTAAAGCCCCAGCTCCTGCTTACAAATCTCAGCTTTCATTAAAAAAACCAAATTGTTTCTAACCCTTGTGTTTCCAGAGAAGAGATTGAAAACATGACAACTAAAGGCTCAGAAACCAAAAGGCAAATTAATATCCCCCCGCTCTAAAAATTATTATTACTGAAATTCTCATGATTTTAAGTCCATCTCCATTTAAAAAAAAGCAGGGGGGGGGGAAGACCTTGTCTCATGGTTTGGCATACTGAGCCCTTAATGCAACATGAATGCCCTTCTGCATGTTTAAGTTAGATACACACACAGCAGGTGGGTGCATGGTAGGATTCTGTGTGGGGCTGTTAGTTTGGCTGACGCTTGAAAAATTCTAAAAGCAAGTATTAGAGAAACCATAATACCATTAGCAACAGTTCACCTGCTCAGAGTAGTGACTCCCTAACTCCAACAATTCCCTATAAGCAAGTGGTCTTGGGGCTGCATGACAAACTAAGCCTTGTTCCTTTCAAAAGGGTTTGAGTACTTAGTTTAGAAATAAAGCATCAGAACTCACCTGTCATATAGTCCAAGTTGACCATAACGCTTTATAATGTGTCTTAGGTTAAATGGTTATCATAGCAAACAGTATATTTTTTGGGGGGGGAGCATAATTTGCTTCTAAACTCAGTTTGAAGAGTGAACTATAATTAAATTAATAGAAAATCTCTTTAGATGTATAAATGAAGGTATAACACAGGAAATATAGAGGAACTGCACACTTACCCAAAATGCATCTTTGAACTGCAGCTGTGTCATGCCTATTGATTTATGGAGGGGGGAAAAATCCTTTAACAGGTTTGCTCTGAGAGCAGAGTAGCAGCGGCACTCAGCTTTGCTGCTGTTACTATACACCAGCTAGAGCAGAAAGTGAAACACTTCCACAGTCCTGTCTCTTTTAAAATGAAAAACAGCACTGGGCAGTTTGAGGAAGCTCCATCTGCTACTGTGAAGAGAAAAAACCTCACTAACCAAAAAAAAACCAGCCTATCCCCAAACCTGTTTCTCTTCTGATAAACAGTTAATATTGAAATGAGGAAGCAGAGTGATGTCAAATGATGTCAGTTTGCTCCTCGCCATGTGTGCACGTGAGCTACTGGCAAAAAAAAAAAATGGTGATCACAGGATCTGATCAACTACACAAAGAGAGAATGAAAAATAATAATAATAATAATAATAATGAGGAAACCAGCATAATAGAAAGAGACAAACCAGGGAGGAAATCAGATTAAAATAGTCACATGCTGAGGAGGCATTGCAGAAAAAATCATGCACCGCATTTCTTCATAATCTTTTTGGCAGAAGTTCACACACACGCACAGGAAGTGTAGCTGCAAAGTTACATTTTGCAGCCCCTTAGCAGGACTGAGGAAATCACAATGTCTTCATTGTAAATATATACATTTCTCTGATTTGCAAACTGCCTTCATACAAATGTCTTTGTGACTATTTAAAAAAAAAAAGGCATGCACACTGACATTGGAATGCTAATCCAGAGCTTCCTCCTGACATCATTGTGTAAAGAATTTTAAAATGTGATGATTCAGTAAAATGAGTGCTAGGAATGCACCCTGGGTGATCTGTCAAGTCACTTGCAAATAAAATATTACGGGAGGCACTGTTTTATTTACTAAGAAGCTGGATAAGTGAATCTAGAAGTAAACTCCAAACTCTTTAAAAAGTGAGGCGTGAGTGAGAGGTTAGTTAGAGTTAACAGCTTACCAGCACAGAGATCTGAAGTTGTTAACCATTTTGAAGAGCAGACATTTAAGCTAACAGTGTGCAGAACACCTCACCCACTGAAGCACTGAAATGCAGTGTTTAAAACAAGTAGCTAAATCGGATGTCAGATATTTTTATAGGCCTGGAAATAATTTGTACTAACTTGGTAATTTTCTTTATTTGAAACTATGACTTGTCTCTGCTTTCCTCTTTACGCCATGATCAATGGAATTTGTCTGTCAGTCCCTTTCAAAATTTTTGAGGGGTTTTTATTTTAAAATTCTGACTGGAGTTTGAACAAGGAGCCTTTTGAATGTGGAGTAGGGAATAGCCCATACAAAGCTCTGGAAATCTGGGTTTCCCAGCAGCATACTATCCACTTCCAAACCTGGCCCACTATATGTTCATTTAAAATGCCTGAGGTGCACTCAATTAATTTTTAAATCTGATCTATTGAAACAGTACTTAGAACTGGTCTCTTTCTTTGAAGGATCTCAAAGCATTTTGCAGGGGTTTCCCCTGATCCTGCAGTCAGTTCCACACAGGTAGTCCTTGTGGCCACACAGAGCCCTCTTGACCTCACTGGTCCTCCCCGTGGGCATAAGTGTCTGCTTACAGTGATCTAATTGTAGGATTCGTTCTGCAATTATTGTTACTAGACATGCATGTAGTGATGCAAATGTAACATAAAATTGACATGTTTCCTCGCCTCCAAAGTTTACAATCCGAGAGACTAGTCACAGGACAACTGGTCAGATCAAGAAAGATGAGCAGAGGATATTGGTGAGGAGAACAAAGTGGGAAGGATTTGTGGAAGTAGTGGGATTTCCGAAGAGGCAGGGCACTTGGTGGACTAGGCATATGGGACTGTTCAAACCAGCATGAAAGAGGCACGGAATCATGAATGGCAAGGAGAAGACTAAAGGCTCAGTCATGCAAGGTGCTGAATACGCTAGTCCTGATCAAGCACAGCCCTTGAGCAAATGCTTCACTTCAAGCATGAGAGTTGTCCCACTGCCTTCAATGGTCCTGCTTGCTGGCCTCAATCCAGCAAAGGATTTAAGCATACACTTAGCATCTTGCACAGTCAAGCCCTAAGGGAATAATAAGGAGAGAACATTGGGAGAAGCATAGAGAGTGTAAAAAAGGGCAGTAGAAGGAAAGGAGAGCAGAGATGTACAAGGACACGTTTATCCTCAAATTGAGCCTCCCTTCTCCTATGAGAAAGAGAAGTATTATTTCCATTTTAGAGACAGCCTCCCTGTGCTTCAGTTTCTCTCTGGCTTATAGTCACAAAAGACAGTGGCAGAGCAGGAGTCTTGGAGCCAGGATTCCAGGATTCTATTCCTGGCTCTAACTACATATTCTAGTTTAATGATCCACAGCTGCAAATATATCATTTCTCCTTTTTGATCAGAGCAACTAGTCAAAGTTTAGGGCTCTGTGGGTGTTCCAGTTGGGAGTAGAAATTGGTGGTAGCCAGGTGTTTCTTTGTAAATAAACAAAACTACATCAAGGAATGTACAAAGTCCTGTGTCTCTGAACACAGAAGTAACCAAGAACAAAAAGGAGTAATTTCTTGTCTTACCAGCCCCCCGCCCTTTTTGAGCTAACACCAAACCCCAAAATTGTGACCTCAGTAGGTGTGTGTTCTCTCTCACACACACCTACCCAAAACAATACTCAGCTCAAAAGCTCCTAGGCCGGTTCACATACACTTTTGTCTGCAGGGCTTATGTTTCCAGTTATGTTAATTGAGGGATGAGTTCACACCTATCAATCCCAACAGGGATTTTAACCAAACTCAACAATGTTTCTTTCACCCATCTTATTATTTTAAAAAAAAAAACACGACTATTGTCAACTAGCCACATATCTACAGCATCAGGGTTAGAAATCCTGGCCTCTCTCACACAGATTACTTCCTCATTAACTAGGGACTTGACCCTGCATTGTGCTGAGCATTATGGTGGCCCAAACTGAAGCCTAGGGAACTACTCACATGCTTATACTATTAAGTACATGTTGATGTGTTTTGCTGGATTGGAACCAGAGTGCCCAGAACCTTGCAGGATGGAGTCCTAAGGGAACCGTTCCTCTATCTCAGTTGTTAGAGAGAAGCTACATATGAATGAACAGATTTGACATACTCCATCCAGCAGAAAGCAGTCTTACATAGCACAACTATACAGGATGAAATATCTGGAAAAGTATTGCTTAGCCTGGCAGATGACTGATATTAATAAAGTACATATAGGCTTTGTTATGCAAGGAAGGGATAGATGCATTTCACTGCCACATTAACAACAATTTAAGAAAGCTATTAACTGTAGACTCTTCCGTTTCTCATTTAAACTTATGTGCGGTGCTATTCTATTTAGATTGAGGCTACTGTGTAATGAGGATAAATAGCATTCCCAGTCTGAGGCTCTTGAAAACTGCACGAAGAAGTGCTGAAGTGCATTATGTGAAACGATTTAAGCAAATTATTATGCACTCCACTTCCAAGGAACTTGTCTTATACAAATAATTGTTTGTAGCTCTTGAAAAGTAAATTGAGAGCAGGTTTCTAATCTCAAAAATACAACAGGTGTCGATTAACTCTGCTAGTGCAGATGCAAGACCAGGCTGGGTATCAGATTTCTCAAACTTCTTAGGTGAAACAAGCTAAGATAAAAATCTGGCCATCCAAAAGTTTCCATTTAACATCCTTAAATATATGAAGAGACAGCAACTCCTTTCTATTTAGCATTTTCTCAGAAGAGGGATGAGAAGTAAAAGTGGAGGAACAATAATCTACCTAAGCTTTGGGGAATAAAATATCTTTTAAAAAAACAATCCAGAATCATACCACCATGATGGATCTTTCATGACAACAATTGCATTTCAACAGTAAAGACAATGAGAATGTATGCCTCTCTGAAATCTCTTGATCACCACTCTTTGACCACCAGGTAGATCTCAGTACAGCATGTGTGTATACGTGCTGCTAGGAAGGTTCTAAAGTCATTCCTTTTCTGCAAAACATTTTAACACATTCTGCCCTATTATTTTTAATCCTCACCAGTGTGCTTCACAGCTCTGTCCCTTTGTTTTCATGGTAGCAGCGGGGACTGGAATGACAGTAGGAGAAAAATGGAAACATAATATGGCCAGTGCAATTGGCCTCCGCTGTGCTTGAATCCCTTCATTAGCAACATGTTACTTGGCCTTCAGAGGGCTGTGCTTTAAAGCTGGACTTTCTCACATTATTAAATAGAGCAAGATGGTTCCAGTGTCATTTTTAGAGAGAAGTTATTTAAGAGGGCAACATGTAGTTGTGGAAGGAGGACATCAGTTCAAAATTACACCTGTCTGGAATTTCACTGGTGGTGGTTGGAAGTGAAGATTGTTTGCTGATAAAGTCTGAAATGGTCTCCGTCCGACAGGGACTCTCTCTCTGGTGTGCTCGTGGCAGGGAAGAAGGAAAGGACCACATGGTTTAGGTTCTAACAAGGCCACAACTTTATTGGTCAAAAATTACATCCGTTTCCTGTCGGGAGACAGCCCAGAGTAGTCATTTTTAGCCCATTAATCCTTTACCAATTCTTTGTGTGATCTCATCACAGGGGCAGCCAATCATAACACTAGGAGGTTTTCTGTGTGCCTCCACTCACCTGCTAGTATCCCTCCCCTTTCAGGGGTTGAGGTGAGGGGACCTTTGACACCTCCCCTCACCAACACTGCTATAAAGCGCATTGACGGGGCAGTCCCCCCCAGATATTGTCCTGGACCCTGGTTCACATTTGCCCCCAGGAAGCAAGACATATTGCCCCCATCTCATAAGGAGATGCCCTCAGGCTGGCCACCATGTTACCTTTTTTGATCTGGAGCCTAAATCAGTGAGTTTCTGCACTGGGCACCTGCCGAAAGGTGTGACAACTAAATAACTCACATAGGTCAAACTGTGGCCTCTGGGAGTGGGACGATCCCAGCCCTCTGGTTGGATTTTGCTGTCAGAAAGGTGAAAAAACATTGTCCAGCCTCAGCCAATCTGGTGGTATGAGGGAAAATTCCTTCCCATACCCAAAGCAACAACTAGCATAGCCTTCACTGATCCAGGTAGGGGAGCAGGCTGTGGAAGCCACCAAACTCACCTTTTGCTGGGCTCGGCACCCCGTCTATACTCTCCTTTGGCATAATTCACTATTTTTTCAACTTGTCTCAATGGATTCTTGTTTCTCTCCCAGGCTTTTTTTTTTTTTTAACTGAAATACTGTTTTTCATTTCATCACAAACAAGTCCCATAGGTGTGAACACTTAGTATTTCTTATCATGAATAAGG